GCATATAGTTCTATAATTTTACATCTGTCTGATAATATTGTTAGACAAGTTAATAGTGCTGAAACTGCTAAGACTTTATGGACTGCATTAGATTACCTGCTCTTGACTAAGACTCTGCCTAGCAAAATATATGTTAGAGAAGCTGTTTAGTTTTAAGATGGACCCTAGACATGATTTGGAAGGAAACCTAAGTGACTATAGCATAATTGTTAAAAGCCTAGCACATAATGATAAGAAGTTTGAGGATGAAGACTTAGTTATTATATTGCTGAACTCTTTACCTGAATCCTACAAAGAGATTGGGAATGCCATAAAATATGGTAGGGGTACATTTACGCAAACAATTGTGATAGATGCATTGAAATCCAGAGAGTTAGAGCTTAAGAGAGATAATAGGACAAACTCAAGAGAAGAAAGTTTGTTTGTGAGAGGAAGAACTGAAAAGAAAGAATTTAATTTTCATAATAAGAAGGGTAGAGAGATCTAAAACTAGATCTAAGTCTAAAGACAGAAGTAATAAGAAATGTTATAATTGTTGGAAGTTGGGACATTTCAAAAGGGATTGCTTTGACTGGAAAAAGAATCAAAAGGACCTGAATAATAATGATCTGAATAATGTTGCCATTGTATCTAAATTGGATAGTTTACATGTCCTAAATGTGTCTAATGAAGAGCCCAATAAAGACTGGATTCTGGACACAGGGTGTACTTTTCATATGTGCCTGAAAAGTCTTGGTTTTATAATTACAAAGAAATAGAACCTAGAAAGGTTTATATGGTAGACAATAATGTATGATGGCACCGTTGGCCAATAAATAATGTTAGATATGTCCCAAATCTGAAAAGAAATCTTATTTCTTTAGGAATCCTTGAAAATGAGGGATATACCTTTAAATCTGGTAATAAAGTTCTGAAAATTATGAAGGGGTCTCTAATTGTAATGAAAGGGCCTAAAAGAAATGGTCTATACTATCTTGAAGGAAAAACATAAACTACACCTGACTCCAGTCTTCTTACTGCTAATAAAGACAAAACTGAACTGTGGCACAACATAATTGGTCATATTGGTTTAAAGGATTAAAATCTTTAAGTAAACAAAAATTACTTGGAAAACATGATATTGAAACAATGGACTTCTGTGAGACTTGTATGTTGGGGAAGTCCCATAAGGTGAGTTTTGAAAC